AGTAGTAGTAGTAGTAGTAGTAGTAGTAGTAGTAGTAGTAGTAGTAGTAGTAGAAGTAGTTATAAGAGTAGCTACAAATTTTATAACATTGTCTGACACGAACATTATTAAGGTATCAAATTCCATTCGAGTTCCAAAGCCCAGGGGCATGAGAACAAATGCGAACAACAATATAATGGACTTGGGAACTGGAAAATAGAATCAAAGGAGGGCTAAAACCATCAGAAAACCCCCATCTCTATGATTATGTCTCTGAGAAGTCACGTTTCTAATTTTCAAAAGCAGTGTCTCATCTGACAACATTTATTACTATCTAGATTAAATGACAGCGCGTAGAATCACACTGGCAAGCAAGCAGTTGATGAGAGACAACAAATATCGAAGCGACGGAACATTTTCTTCTCAAAATTTCCTCCTTGTACCTCCTTTCCTTCTCTCTTACATTGTCCTGTCGTCTGCTTTTGTCTCCACTTTCTGCCCCCACCCCCTAATCTCGTTTGCAACCTCCTCTGTGCTCCTTGCTCTTTCTGCAGCGTTTCCAATGCTACTCCTGGGCTTCTTATTGCTGTCTTTCAGCCACACCCCTGATCTTATGGTAGGAAAGATCTATCAACTTTCAACCAAACCCTGATCTTATGAAAGATCTAAGAGCTAGCTTTCTCGGATAAGGGCGATAAATCTCGGAGGTCCCGTGTGCAAGTTACGTACGTTAAAGATCCCTTGGTGGTCCAAAATCAATAAGAGTAGTATACGGCCGCCATCCGGGCAAAATTTAAAATTTCCTACCAACAGAAAATATTTAAGGTATCCCGCGCGCCCATGTGACCATATGGGGATGCGAGCGCCGTAAAACACTTACGAAAAAAAATCCCAACCTACCAGGTATTCGTGTGACGATTGAAAAACAAACTAAATGTTACAGAGAAAAGCAGAAAAACATCATTGATCGTGTCATGAAGTACCAATAGCATTGTGCTCGTGGGTAGAGTGTGTCCTGATGAAATAACCCTCACAGCTCAACGCAGCAGACTCCCCTTCCGACAAAACAGAGCATTACCACGATGTCAAGGAACGTGCTGTCGTTGGAAACTTTCGGCGATTCTTTAATTTTTCTTTGTGATTATTTTTGACAGAAATGAAATTTGGCCACGTCCTCCTAAAAAGGGGGAAAACTGAGATAAAAAAAAGTAAAATTTAAAAAACCTCAAGAAATTCGTCTCGCTGTCTGAACAATCTCAGGATTCAAGCCTTGCAATTCCGGAAGAAGCGTTTTGACTTCCCAAAGACGAATTTTAATTTGTTTATCGATTTTCCAAAGTGTTAGCCTAAACCTTAAAGAAAAACAGAAAAAAACTAAAATGGAAAACAAACTGCAACTAAAACAACAATATAGAAATCTTTTTTAAAAAGAAAACTCACGAAGTTGGAAAGTTCATGTCGTGCGTAATCAGAACCAAGGGGTTTTGTCGTTTTATTTTTGAGTATCTCTTATTCTGTTTGTTGTGTTTAATTTAATTTGTGTAATAGACATGATAATCATCAGTACCATGATTATTGCTAAGAAAATATAAAAAAGACAAAAAAACGAGGACATTTACATGTCATCTATCTCGAGAAGTGTTACTAGATACTGACCTTTGTTAAAAGAAAATATTTTTTGGAAGCGGTAAAAAATAACATCTCCAGTAGTGACCCCCCCCCCCCCAACAATTTTTGAAAGATATGTAACAGATAACTCCCCCCCCCCCCCCCCCACCCTGGAAGAAAATGAGGTTAGTTTTGCAAGATCTTGTGATACGCATATTTATTGCAAGAAAGTTAATAAAAATAAACATCTTCCTTAAAAAGCACACTCATATTTTCTGTGATTCCCCTTCACCAATCGTGTCTGATAAGATAAGTCACAAAACGCATGTAGAACAAAAACACTATTATTATCTACAATTCAATAGCTCTAATAATCCAGCTCACATACAAGTCCCAAACGGGTTGAGAACGAACAGTCATACTCAAAGTCAAATCAAGGTGGGTTTGAAGGTGTGCATTCAAAAGAAAACCTAAAATATTGGCATAAGAGGGTAATTTAACACTCTAACTCTTCTATAATATATAAGCGTCTAGCTGTTAGTGATCAAGCAATATATTGAAGAGACCATAAGTGTTCGAATCTATAGTTATAAGTATGAGCAGCACCTAATGCGTTTCCAAAAATGCGGTGCCCATTGACATCATCGGTTCGGTTCGATTTTGTCCCTTTTGTCGGTTTGGGGCAAGCCGGATTTTACTCCACAGGAGGGGCAAAACCGACGAAACCGACGAAAGTGGAAAAATTTAAACCGACAAAACCAATGATAACCTCCAAAAACAGACGGTCTAATTATAGTATGCACTAAAGCCGACAGAAACCGAACCGATCCTCTAATGGGCATGGGCTATAAAGCAAAGAGTTGAGGGCTGAGCAGCAGGACAACGCACATGAAGAGGCTGGGTGGTAAGAGGGCCCAGGGACACAGTAATAAATACATAAATAAAAAAGGATAAAAGAATACATGAATACATGAATAAATAAATAAATAAATAAATAAATAAATAAATAAATAAATAAATAAATAAATAAATAAGCATAATCAGTTAGTGGAAAGGAGGGAAGGAATACATGTATTAAACGAATTTCAATCAGGTGTTATTCAAAGGTGATCATTTCCTTTTGAGTCTTTCCTCAATTAGATATTATTCCAGGAGCAACAAATATATTTCTTTTTCTTACCATACCTCACTTAATGACCTAGCACAGGTGGGCTCCAAATATTTTGTATTTGTTAATGTAAAAGCAGTATTGAGAATACAAGACGGCTGCTTTATGAAAAGAACAAGAAGCAAATCAATAATATCGCGGCAGCAGATGTAAAGAAAAGAGCCTCAACTCCTATTTGGCTTCGATGAATACAACAAAATGAACTCACTTGAAGTAAATCATGATGAATATGGCGACAGACAGGGCGAAGAGGGATACACCGTATCCTATACTGTACATCAATTTGATCCGTTCCATGTGTTCCTGTGAATGAGGGAAAGTACGTTTACAAAAGAAGGCGATTCACAAAAGCAAACAATCTACCTACCTACCTACCTACCTACCTACCTACATACATACATACCTACCTACCTACATACATACCTACCTACCTACCTACCAATCTACCTACCTACCGACCTACCTACCATCTATCTGTTTACTCCTTTATCATTTTCTTTATCTGTATACAAAGTTACACCGAAGACCTGAGTTCGATTCCCGCAAGGGGAGACATTTTTTTATTGCGTTCCCGATCTTTCTCCTGGGACGTATCCCCCTCATCCCCGGTTGATCTTGACAGAAAGGTTGAAGCCTGCCTCCTAAATGTTCCAAAAGGTGCCGATTGAGACCTATTATTAAAATACTTCAATACAAAGTTCCTTAATACTATTAACACCACCTCACTTTACCACCTCCCCTCCTTTATTTCCCTCTAGGTCGGCCTCTCTCACACAAATGGTCACTTTGAATAATATAACTCAACTAGCTGGGCCCCCTCTCGATGAAAGGAATGATCGGAGCATTAACATTAACTGAAAGTCGTTGGCCTACTATATTTACACTCTACTGGAATGGAGCAATAAATCCTGAGTGATGCAAAAAATTAGAAAGTTTAGATATAGTGATGTATAGATTGATTCTCTATTCAGCTTTCGTGGTTTTGCACTCCGGAATTTCAAAGGTGTAGAAACAGTGCGCACGGCTATTGAACGGAAACCTCACTTATTTACAATGGCGTCTTAGAAAACGAACTTTCCCAAGATTAAATCTAAACGAAACTAATGAAAAACTGAAAATTAAACTACAGTGACTTCAGGATCCTCCATAGAACTGTGCACCCTTTATATGATTCTGAAATACCACTAATTTGGTAAAATTCGAAAGTTAAGTGGTTCCGAAGTTTTAGGCGGCCAAAGTGACGGATTTCTCAAATATAATATGTATAAATGCCACTAGTATAGGCGAGTTCAGAGAAAGCTCTTCCTTTTGGTCAAGCACATTAAAAAATCTCTGCCTTCTAATTGAAACATAGAATTAACTTGGAACCGAAAGTCCATTCTGGGGTCGTATATTGATTTATATAATCGTGAATTCTTTCTCAACCAATTTTTTTTTTGCTGTTTACTCCGACCTCTTCAGGCTACTATCTTTTTCCCTTCTTATCCGACTAGCTGGCTCTTTGTCCATCCTTTCTGAACATTTAATCAATGAATCTAGTCTCATCTCTCAAGAGACAAGGCAAAGAGTACACTGTTATGTATCAGCCACGTGCCTCGCCTTTAGCCGGGGGTCCCTGTCCAATATGTCGGAAGGGACGAAAGACATTTGTCGTGAGTGTATGTGTGTGTGTGTGTGTGTGTGTGTGTGTGTGTGTGTGTGTGTGTGTGTGTGTGTGTGTGTGTGTGTATGTATGTACGATGCAGACACACAGACAGAAAGAAAGACAGACAGACAGACTGACAGACAGATAGACAGACACATACAGAAAGACACTTAGACACAAAGAGATATATGTACGGTACGTACTTGAAAGAATATTTTTGATGTATCCCCCTCCCCATCCCCGCCCTCTCCAGTCGAGATTCAAACATCTACACTTCCTTGCAGGTAGTGCTATTGGGAAGAGCAAAAATGCACACATAACGACATAGCTAGAGGGGGCTCTTTCCAAAGCTGACAATCAATATAGAAGAAACGGACATTGGAGAAAATTCCTTGACATGGCTGTAATTTTTTTCCTTACACATTAGTACAGCAGTTTCTGGAAAAAAAAGAAACCTGGAACTCTTTTTTTTGTCCTTGTAAATCTCGGGGTCGCGCTTGAACTCTCGGAATGATGGCTTGTGGACCAAAGGCACTGTGTTTGCCGACCCAGTGCGAGTGATCGTCACCCCTTCTTTTTCTCACTGGCTAGGAATGATGTACTGTAACAATCCCGTGAAGGGATTTTATATGGAACAAAGTCGTATTGATCAAAGTCATTCATGTCAAGGATAGGTTGTGGAGATTTTGGAACCAGGTTATAAAAAGGCTTTTCGTTACCTTTTTATTTTTTATAGCATCATCTGTGACAACATAGTGTATGGGTTGCAGAGATGTTGCAGGCAGAAAAGACATTTAGATACCTGCTTTGTTAGCATCATCCGTCGCAGCATACTATTATTTGGTTGTAGAGATGTTGTAGGTAGATTATAAGGCATTTCATAACCTGTTTTATAACCACCATTTGGCACAGCATAATTGTAGAATTGGCCAGTGTTAGCCCCATGGAAGGCATGAGAGGGGTAATGATCAACAGCATGAAGTGCAAGCGTTTGTTACCGAGACATGTAACAACTAACCAGGTGTTTGTTGGGCTTTGAGCTAATCTTGACAGAAAGTGGAGGAGCTCACAAAATATGGTGGGATAGTTAGACACTTCACTGTCACACGCAGAAGAACCAAGTTCGATTCCCGAGTGGGCAGACATTATTACTGAGTATCTTTATCTTTCTACTGGGATCTTGTATCCCTCGAAGCCCAGGTATAACCTGGTCTGCAGGGTCGGAAGCCTGCCTTCTAAATGACCTTGATTGTGTCTATTAAAAAAAGAACCCCAAAAAATGTTGCTCTTACTTTTTTTAAACCTATCGCAAACAGGCTACTATCTGGATTGAGCAATGATTTAAAGATGCTAACGTGTAGTTGAGAAACACTTAACAACACTAGTTGACAAGTGGATATCAAATACGGCTTGTCTTCTTTAACAAGATACAGGACAAGTGGAGCGATAGGGAGGGTGGGTATGTTCCCTTCACCGTTTTGAACCAAAGTCTATTTTCAGACACTGTTATAAATGGCATGGATAGCATTCAAAACATGCTTAAAGAGGAAGAAATAGACAATAAAGGAAGTTCAACAACTTCTAAGATGGCAATTATTAATTAAATAAAACGACTGAAAAGAGGCTTCCTCCCCTTCTCTTCCAACATCCGCTCACTCTTGTTTATCTGTTTCAATATACCCACCCACTCTCTGACATTTTGGCACCGAACAACAAGTCAATATCCTATCTTCTTGTTTTTCCTTAAGCCTTTAAGCCTTTTTCTTTTCTTTTTCTTTTCATTACGTCCACCGCACCCTTTGCACCTCTCTCTCCAGCCATTTCCATCTTTTTCATCTTTCTGGTTCCAAGTCTACTTAGCAGCCTACCCATTTTCACCGTCTCTCTCTCTCTCTCTCTCTCTCTCTCTCTCTCTCTCTCTCTCTCTCTCTCTCTCTCTCTCTCTCTCTCTCTCTCTCTCCTCTTCTCTCTCCTGTTTCTCGCTTTCTTCCTTGTCGTGTCTAACTACCGGCTGCTTTATTCATTTCGGTCTCTATCTCTGTGTGTCTACCCCCCCCCCCCCTTGATCCCCTGTCTCTCCCTCCCTATCCGCATTGCCCCCTCCCCCCCCCCAACCTTTTCCCTCCCTCCCTCTCCGTTTTGACCCCCCCCCCACTCCACCATCTCTCCGCGTATCCTCCCCCGTTTCACATGTCGACTGTCAGCCCAGAGCGGTCTAATGGTCTCATCACGAGCTTTTGGCTGCGGCATTATATTATTCTTTCTCTCGATAATGTGGAATGAAAACAAACCCTGAAGAAAAAATGGGGAAAAACCAAAGTAAGAATGGGATAGACGTGTGGGAGAGTAAACGAGAAACATGATTAGGTTACTGCCAATAATAATTAGGCCCAAACCTAATTAACACCATCCGGTGTGTGGGAGATACTTTGGCTGTGGCTGTAAAGCTAAACAGTAATAAGTAGGCCCATCACGTCAGCCGGTTGGATTTATTTTTCCTGTAACAGAACACCCAACTGGACACAAACAAGGCCATACTGAATCATGAGTTCTTAGTTACCCTATCACACTATAGATCTATTCTAAGAAAGGTCCTTATTAAAGGGAAATAAAATACATTATTAATAATTATTCAGATCTATCGGACTCGAAACTCGTTCATCAGAATGTTATTGAAGCTATAAACATATTAGCAGGCAGCACCTTTACGAAATGGCTGTTGGGACTACTTTACAACAGCAAACATTTATAAAATTCTTTATATTTCAGTAGTACAAATTATTATTGGTATTTTCACAAACTATAAAGAATGACCTCCTCTACTTCTTCCTTTGCTGCCCAATCTTTGGAATAAACTATTACACAAAACGCACTAATACACACATACACACACATACACACACACACACACACACACACACACACACACACACATACACATACACACAGATGCATACACACATGTACGCACATACTCACTCGGGGCGCGAGCACACACACATACACAAGATCCGGTGCAAAATTTTAACCTGTTTACAAATAAATGCTGAAACGAATTAACGAATTTGGAATGCGTTTAAAAGTTAGATGATAAAAAGTAGTATGTAGTTCCAAACTGAACAAATGTGATAGACAAAACATTAAAAACAAATTTTAATTGATGAAACAAAACCTTCCTGGATATTTTTTTTTCTATTTTCCTGCTTTCTATAAGAAGCCCGCAAAGTATTTTTTGTATGCAAAGAAAACTGCAAATACTGTTATTCATGAGCTTTTTAAAAATTTCCTTTTTTCCCATCCCTTCCGTCTGCCTCAAATTTGTTCAACTCAAACCTACTCCCACTTCGCCCCTTTTCCTCTAGACGGATGCCAGGCTGCCAGCTAGAAGCTCTCTGTGTGAGATATAAGATCGATGACATCATCCAAAAAAGACCGACATTGGGACCAGAGGCATTAAAATTTCCCCCGAGAAACGTCCTAATCTGAATGGCTCTTAATGCAACCACTTTGAAAAGACCGGGCCATGGAGTAACACCCAGCTTCATCATTACTTCATTCACAAAACCTCTCTGAAGCATATATGAACTAAGAATAAAGTCTATTTCTATTTGTCATGTTTAAGTTTGTAGATTCATGTGAGCTGTCTTCATTGTTTGAGTGATGAATTTATTATTATCTTGAGTTAGGGGTTGACATACTAACTTCAAAAGTGTTCAGTGGTATCATGCGATTAAAAGCATCTTGTTCCTGAACATCGATTACCTAAAAGAATAAAGTTCTATGTCATAAGAATGAATATACGTTTTTCCCCCTTGCCCGTTTATATGAAGTTGACGCCACCAGATTAGTTGGAAAAAGTGCATATTGATAGCGTCCAATAGTGTATTACGTGCATACTTAGTATAACAATTAACTGTAGTAGCGGATAGAGATTCCAGGTTTATAGATGTAAGTCATTGATCTGAGAGTGGTGATGATTTTAAAAATAACAGTGGTGATGAGTGATGATGAGGGATTGCGTTTAAATAATGTTAGCGCGAGTCCTATCTTCCTCTGCTCCAATGAGTCACGAGAGACGTGGGCACCTTCTATCCCTTTCCCTACTTGAACCATCTTTACGGTCACCATGGAGTTCCGAAATGGTGGGCTCAGTCTCTGCTAAGGAGACATTGTTAGTGTTAGCCTATTCTATCGGGCCAAGCCAATTAGTGTAGAGAGGAGCTAAGTGGGAAGACAGTATAGTGGCAGGTATGTTGGGGTATTTGTAAGGGGGTTGTAGATAGCAAGTTGGCGGATTATGATCTTTAAAATTGCATCAAAATCGCCGGCACTTTTATTATGGCCTAATTGTGTGGCAAGTAGAGTAAAAGACTTACAAAAACAAACAAGTCGGAGACAAGGTATCTTGAGGTTATCTAACATGAATCAACTTGGAGGACCATACAACCGGACGAACCTTCTCTGAAGCCATTGTGATAAGTTTGACTTTAACATAAAAATTTGGTCCTTGCGCTTGATATTTTTGACAATATTTGAGACTGAACATCACAACTCCTACACCCTGCCAGACACATGTCCAGGTGAGGTTTCAGTTATTCGGCTGGGTAAAACGCAAAACAAATGAGGGAAGGAAAAGGAAAAGCGTCAGGTCCCTAGCTCTTGTCATTCTGCCACGACAGTTGAGAATAATTATGTGTGGGTTGTCAACCTCGTGGGTGGCTCCCACTGTCAGAGTAATTTTAAGAATAATAGATCTACAGAGGACAACGACCTCTGCAAAAATTCAACAGGGGATGATTATATTGAAATCAGACGCTTAAAGGAAAAGTCGAACCTTAGAGAAAGTCCAGCAGTATCCTTAATTAAGACACTATGCAGGAATTTTGACCAATTGTGCCACAAACAGGAATACAGCTATTAGTTTTAAAAATATATTGCCTCCCGAGTGCTCTAATGAAATAATTTGCATACAAAATTGGCAAGTAGTATTCGCCTGTGGTGCATACTGTACTGTTTCTTTTCTCCAAAGATAAATTGCAAGCCTCCTTGCCCCCCCCTACCCCCCTACCCCCCAACCTCTCTCCCAAAAACAAACATACAAAGAAAACAAAAACAACAACAAAAAACAAACACAAAAACAAACTAACAGTTTGAACAAACAAACAAACAACAACAGCAAAAACAATATCAGTAACAATAACAACGACAGCAACTCCCCCATCCCCCTAAAAACCACAACCTAAGTTATGTACGCTTTTTCAGGTGGTATGTAATCAATCTCGAGTGACTGAAATCATGCAAAGTTCGAACACTGGGATGTGAGCGGGATAGAGTGAGGGAATGATTGGCTTTCATTTGAGCTTTTGATAATAGGTGGGTACCTAAAATGTAGCACAGAGGGTTGATGACAAAGTTTTTAATATTTCGTTTTGACTTGAATTTTTCTATTCATGTATATCTCCTCCAACAAAACACGTATTTACAGACAAACAGACGGCATGCTAAGCTGTGTAACTGCGTTACGTAACGTCAAGCCAAGTTCTTAATGACATAACTATGATGGCACTTATTTTAGAATGTGTACGTACAAAAGCGTTTGAACAGTTTGTTTTGCTTTCATTTTCAAACATAAGCATGAAGAGCATAATATCAAATGGTGAGGATCAGAGAAACAAGAAATTCTGAATGCCGTTGTGTTTGCATTTGTGTCATCATAGTTATGTCCGAAAGAAAGGTATAAACTTTCCGTTTTCATATTTTAATTTCTTTATTAAAATTTGGGCAACCAACGATTAAGAAGATTTAGTTTGACTCACAATGCATGTTAATGATGAAAGAATGCCACTTTATTCACATTTTACTATGAATCTCTGCAAAATATCTAATACCTTTCGAACATAACCATGATGAGACAAAATGAAAAATACCCTGAAAAATAATTTACGGAACATAAAATTATTTTAATAGTTTTCTCATTGCTTTAATTTTCAAATATAAGCATGAAGAGCATATAAAATCACAGAAAAAAGAAATTCTGAATGTTTTTGTGTTCTCACATGTGTCATCATAGTTAAGTTCGAAAAAAAAGAAAAACTTTCTATTTTCATATTTTGATTCATTTTTACGAATCAAACATAAACTATTAAGGAACGTTTGTTGTTAAGGTGCTCCAGCCCCTATAAGGCACTGCAGACTTTTTTCTTCTAATTTCCACGAAGCAATAACATAAACAGAAATAACAGAGAAAGTGAAAACGTGTCAATTAGTTTACTTTAATTTATTATTGTAATTAATACAAATTAAATATATATATGAAAGTGGACTTGGGAGGCTTTGTGCACAAACTCCTCCCTTATTACTTAACCCACACCTTTGAAACTTTGCAGGCCTCCACAGCATCCATGTGGCTATGACCTAACGTCAAAAAATCCACGCAAACTGCTTTCCCCGATTTCTTCAAAATGCTTTGTTTCGTCCACACAGAGTTCTAATTTTGGGAAAGTCCGTCTTCTAAGACGCCATTGTAAACAAGTGAGGTTTCTGTTTACTAGCCGTGCGCACTGAAGGCACACCTTGGAAATTCTGGAGTGTACATTCTTGAAAGCGGAATAGAGAATCAATCTACACATCTATTATTATATTTGGCAACTTGGAAACACGTGTGTCACTTTTCTCTCAAGATTTTTTGCTCCGTTCCAGTAGATTGTAAATAAAGTAGGCCAATGACTTTCAATTGATGTTGATGCACCGATGCACCGACCATTCCTTGCATCGAAAGGGGGCCCAGCTAGTTTGGTATATTAGTAAACAGTGGATAAACGTGTTTGCGAGGGACGCATTATGATACTATTAACAAACTTTTTCTGAATACCACTATAACGATACCCCTCCTCCTCTCTTCCCCTTCTCCCCTCTTCCTCTCCTCCCCCCTCCTCTCTTTATCTCTCCCTCTCTCTCTCTCTCTTTCTCTCATTCTCTCTTTGTCGCATCACTGCTTCTCTCTCTCTCTCTCTCTCTCTCTCTCTCTCTCTCTCTCTCTCTCTCTCTCTCTCTCTCTCTCTCTCTCTCCCTCTCTCTCTCTTTAATAGATTTAAGAGTTTAAAAAGACCAGTTGCAACCATCATTTATTAAAGCTGAGGTGGTGGAAGTTGTGAACTCCTACAAATATCTTGGAATAATAATTGATAACAAGCTTGACTTACATCCCTACGCTGCTCTCGTACATAAAAGAATAAGTCAAAGAAAGTTCAGTTTGTGTCCCTTTTTTGTCATCCTATGATTGAAAACATGTTACTATTTTGTATTTGCTGTAGGCCTGGAAACTGTAGAGTGAAAGACAAGATGAAAATTGAGAGAACCAATAAGAACGCCTGCAAGATCTCTGTATATGATTTCACTAGAATTGATGAAATGTAAAATGCATGAGAAAAGATTTAAAAAATAACATTATAAACAACGAGTCCTGCCCCCTTTCCACATAAATTGTAAGATCACGCAGCGGCAGGTACGTACCACTAAGAACAAAGAAAGAAAGATACAACAGTTTTTGTTTTATAATCTAGAATCTAGTATGAGGTTATTGTCATACTAATGTGTATTGTTGTTTCGAATATCTACTTGTATCTATAATATTACTCTAAACTTCTTGGGATAAATTCCTGCATGTGGTCGTATGATATTACTCATGTGATATGTACATTATTGTCAGATTTAATTTTCTTTTCTTATTGACTCTGAATTAGAGTAATATATAGTTTAATTTCTATGTATACCTGCGTGTGTTTTTACGTCCTGTACTGCCAAGAAAAATGTCCTTCTGGCATATTTATATATATATATATAATATATATATTATTTCTCTCAATCCCCGCCCCGCCTCCCCCCCCTTTCCATTTTCTTCAATTTTTCCTTTTCCTCATCCTCCTTCTCCTCTCCCTCAAGCTCTCCCAAAACTCATCAAACCAACAAAGAAGAATCTTGAGCCCTCCCCCCTCCCCCATCTCAACAAAGAGGAATCTTGACCCCCCCCCCCCCCCAACTTTTTAAAGTAAAATGATAAGAATCTAACCTTGGGCACAAGAACAAGAGGAGGACCAGCTCCGTACGAATCCGTGATTTTGCAACTTGTATAGTTACTCCACGTTGCGTTGAGCTCAGAGTTGAAAAACCACTGACCGCTGTCCAAGCACTTTCGGGTGGCCGTGGCTGTAAAGGGTGAGATACAGGGAAACACAGTAATGAGAATATTGATTATTTATTCACAACAACAAGCCATCCTTGGTAGCCCGTCATAAGCTATTAAAGTAAACAGGGAGATAAGGCTGAAGTAGGGTGGTTGTTTCATTTTTGTTGTTTTGTTCGGTCTAAAGACGGGAATTGTTAATATGTTCATGATGTCTTGCAAATAACATAAGCACACACCTTATTATTTGTAAACGTATGACGAAATTGATCGTACGTTTTGTTTTCAAAAACCTCTACTAAAACAAAAACAAAACAAACAAAACAAACACAAAAACAAACAAAACAAAAACAAAAACAAACAAAACAAACACAAAAAAACAACCCCCCCCCTCGAAACCTGAGGCGAAGATACTGGATGAAATAACTTTCCCACACTAGTGTCCAATGTGAATCGGTTACATGTAACGGTGAACAACATAATAATAGTTAATAACCTTTATGCCGTAGACGCCGAATTCAAAACGTATCAACTGAGAGAAAAAAGCAAACATAAAAGTTTAGTTTCTGGAATGATGTCAACGAATTACACCAGCATGTAGAAGAGCGCATAACAGCAATATACGGTATAATTGTAGATCTTTTTGACCCATATCTGCACAATTTAGATCTTTACGAAGATGAGCTTTTTTACCCTGCCTGTCAGGGCCAACACTTGCTAAGACGGATACAACGTCTCAGGATCCGTAGAAACAAATGGAGATACGTAATAATATAAAAACACCAATCACACCTTCAACAGTCGACCTTGAAGCGCCTAACTGCTACAACATAGACACCAGCGAGTTATTGGCCATGTTCATAAAAGTGTATATCATGCATAATTCGATGTTCAACACACTGTCTCTAAATACAGAAACCTGTATTTTTATGAATTAATTTAGAAGCTCAAATAAAATAGTGCTAGGAACACCAATAATGCTACCATCGTTTATGTTTTGAGGTCTAAAGAAAGAGTGCGTCTTTTTTCCAAGGTAGGACAGAAAGATCAGCGCTTCCAGAATTATTTAGATTCTGGGGTTTGCAGACAGAAATCTGATTACAAACGCCTTATGAAAAATGAAAGGGAATGGCTGGAGATTGTGGTGTGGAAACGAGTTATTTGGGAAAGGGGTTGTGGGAAGGGGGGGGGGGGGTTCCTTGAAATTTAGTTAGCCTTTCTGTCTTCCAACAGGCATTTTCATTTTGTTTTTCCAGGTTCATCTTTTTAGATCCCATACGTAATTTCCTCGTGTTGAAAAGGCGTTACAAAATACAAAAAAAAAAGTGAAATGAGATACTGTGAAAGCTGAAATAGGAAAGAAAATATTGTCATTCGACTTTGCTTCTCACGCCAAAACATAATTATTTGTTGTCGGTACTTCCAGGTCACACGAAGAAAGTGAAACCAACTTCTCGGTACCATTCATTTCAATTTCTTCTTCGACTTGGAAGTATTAAAAATTGGAAGAACGCGTGAACCCACTTTTTCTTCTTCTTCTTCTTCTTCTTCTTCTTCTTCTTCTTCTTCTTCTTCTTCTTCTTCTTCTTCTTCTTCTTCTTCTTCTTCTTCTTGTTCTTCTTGTTCTTCTTCTTCTTCTTCTTCTTCTTCTTCTTCTTCTTCTTCTTCTTCTTCTTCTTCTTCTTCTTCTTCTTCTTCTTCTTTTCTCCTCTCTTTCTATATACCCCCCCTCACTCTCTCTCTCTATCCCTCTCGCTCTTTCTCTCTCCCCCCCCCCCTCTCTCTCTCTCTCTGTAACTTTCGTGCAGCATGGCGAACACAGGAAATTGCGTAAAATGAAGATGATGTTTTTCAAAGACTCGATTTGCCAGAAATGAAATCCTTAATCTTACATAATTTGCAAAATTCCACGTTGTAACGATATTAATCTGTAAGTACACCTAATTTTCAAAATTAGAAATACGGGTATGAACGTATGGGGCCGGGGTGGGGGTGGGGGGCGGGGGCAGAGCTTTGTGGTGTTGAGAACATATCTGAGCAAAGTCACATGCAATGTTTGTTTGGTTAAATTCGAACTAATGAAGGCTGTTTTGTATGTGTGTGTGTTTGTGTGTGGTATGTGTGTGTGTGTGTGTGTGTGTGTGTGTGTGTGTGTGTGTGTGTGTGTGTGTGTGTGTGTGTGTGTATGTGCGTTTGTGTGTGTATGTGTGAGTGGGAGAGAGAGAAAGAGATAGAGAGAGGGGTGAGAGAGAGAGCAGAGAGAGAGAAAGAGAGAGACAGATAAATAGATAGATAGATGAGAGAGAGAGAGAGAGAGAGAGAGAGAGAGAGAGAGAGAGAGAGAGAGAGAGAGAGAGAGAGAGAGAGAGAGAGAAAGAAGCGAAAGTTGAAGTGTAGGGGGAGAGATGGCAATAAGAGAAAAAGCAGGTCTTGGGATGTCATAATAAAACGGTTCTCTCTCCCTTGTGAGAGGGATTTTTCAGCTGCCTCAATAGACATTACAATAAAGTAATGTAGCTAATCAAAGGAAACTATAGTGAAGCTGTATAACCTTCACGATTCATAGGATCGGATGAAGCATTAAATTCAAATGCTATCTTATTTAAAAAATACATTTCCGACTTACCATGCCTGTAGAAGTTGTCGACATATGCTGGACATTTCTGCTCAGCCGTTTGTCCAGCGGGCGTCGAGGACCAGCACATGAGACCATCCCATGTGGCATTACAATGGTCATCTGGATTGGAGGTGGGGGGGAGTTGAAGGAGAAGATTAATCTATAATTGACATTTCATGACTTCTATCATGCATGAATAATGTCTACTATTGTGCATATGTGCATGTAACGGTTTCGATTTAATCGGCGCGTGCAGTCCAAAGTTGTCATCGAAAAATTACGAGACTTAAAATACTTCGAGGGAAGCTGTCAAGTTACCTCAGATGTTAAAGTTTTGTACACCTGTTTTTGCTCGCCTCGAGCCATATTGATTACAATTAGTGCTGGGTGATTTTTCCAGGCGTTTGTTCGTCTTTTGGTTCGTACCTCTTAGTCTTATCCACAGACTGGGATAGCTGTAATAATGACTTGGTTGCACCACTTGATACGATGTGCCGATCGGGAGATTAATCAATTCAATTCACCTTTAATCGCTTATTCGAAATGAAGGCATGAGACACAACTTCCTCTTTTGCGGTGGTCATCTGTCAACAGTCTTATCGATTTTGAAAAAAAGCGTATTAATTAAATAACAAAGGAAAACAGTGTCCCTTATGGTATCTGGGGTATCTAGTCCTTTCCTGAAACACTAGTTGAATATAAAAATTAAGCCAGACTTCAGAGAGGGGGTGGACAATAAATAGTCGAAACGAAAAGCAGTTCATAACGTTGTTTCCCATGTCTCACGCACCATTAAGCAGTCGCTCATCTTTGCTTCCATGCTGGAATGTTATTTTGTTTATTCGAATCTCACAACCTGGTCTGTACTGCAGGCATGGGTTAGGCATTCCCTAAATGCAATCTTTTGTTAAACTAGAAACATCTTTACCGACTTTGTTTTTTAATGGCTTTTTGTTATGGATACTTTTCGGTGCCATTGATGTTAAGTAGATTATTTAGGAGATAGGCTGCATTGTTTCTGTTTGGCAGGGCCAAGGTGGGCTTTGGGAGATACGGTATCCAAAGAAAAAGATGAAAACACTCCCTGAAATAAGCTTCCCCAGGCGGGAATTGAACTTACATCTCCTGCCTGAAGGAGTTGATAACCAAAACGGTACACCGCGACGTCGGCGATACGTTTCATTTTGAGTACCAATGTGGATTAACTAAGTGAAGAGGGATACACCAACACACAAGTGATCTAATAAAGCTGAGAACAAAAACCGAGTTTCTCTCTGTTCCAGTATTTGTGTTCGTCAGTTATATAACTATACACCCCCCCCCCCCCCCAAATCGGTACTGAAAATTGTAACCATGCCCTAGAAGCCACTCCGTCAAATTGTGGTCATATTCATTTTTTCATTCTACTTATATATCAAGATAAATACATTTCTATTATATTTGATCAATTTCAAACAGAAGTCTCGTTTTTCCTAGTTCTGTTCAGTTCGGAGGCAAAACATCTCTCCTTCCTGGTTGTTACCGAGAAAAAAAGGGTCAGCATGCTGACCGGCTAGCCTCCAACTACATATACATTCAATTTCAATACAGTATACTTGGTTGGTTTTTAATGTCAAAAGGAACACGAGTGAGCGTTGGGTTTGTACTGTTATTTTTTTATATTACTATTTGTTTCGTGGGGGGGGGGGGGTGAACGGGGTTTTCAGTGATATCTTAGATCCCTATTCCAGACCTTTCTTTTGTCCACTTTCCCCAAGAAGCGTACAATAGCTTTTAAGTCAATACTTGTATTACACGGAAGCATACGAAGATTAAAGAACCTACAGAACTGAAGGAGGAAGGGAGGGAGACGGACATGAGTGAGAGTCATAGAGGAAGTGGTAGAGGGACAGAGAGAGACAGACAAAGGGAGAAAAAGAGAAAGAGAGTGAGTGAGAGAGAGAGAGAGAGAGAGAGAGAGAGAGAGAGAGAGAGAGAGAGAGGGCGGGGCAGGGGAGGGGAAAATGAGAGAGATAAAAAGAGGGGGAGAGAGAAAGGCATACATATAGACAGACAGACAGACAGGCAGGCAGACTGAAATATAGAGCCTAGATAGCTACGCAGATAGACAGATAAATAAATAAATTATTTTTAAAAAAAATATATAAATAAAAAATTATATATATATATATATATATATATATATATATATATATATATATATATATATATATATATAGAGAGAGAGAGAGAGAGAGAGAGAGAGGATGATGAAGGATAATTATAAACAACCAGACCTAGATATTCGTACAAACAAGAGAA